TACGTTACTACTACTTACTACTTACTACGTTACGTTACGTACTCGTCTCTACTACTCTCTCTCTCTCTACTCTCTACTCTCTCTCTCTCTCTCTCTCTCTCTCTCTCTCTCTCTCTCTCTCTCTCTCTCTCTCTCTCTCTCTCTCTCTCTCTCTCTCTCTCTCTCTCTCTCTCTCTCTCTCTCTCTCTCTCTCTCTCTCTCTCTCTCGCTCTCTTTCAAACAGGGCATGTGAGCTATGATCTCCCGCTCATAGGGCAAAATCTGTATTCACAAAATCGGTTGTGTGGTCGATCTAACCATGGCGGTTATTGGTTAGATCGCTCGGTTTTTCAAACAATGGGCAAAATAGATGGTTACACTAACCGTTGTGTCGTCGATGATTAAGTGCGGCAGGTACAGCACCCCGTCGGTGAAATGTACATCCATCAACCCCTTTGTTGTGCTCGGCCTGAAGTTCACCCTCGCATCATGCAATGTTGCAGCAGACCTCACAGCTAGCCCCCCAGTAGCCGCACTCGCCTCCCTTTGTGCCAAAGCCGAAGTCGGTGCCCGCACTAGGCACCGCCTATACGCATCGAGCATGTGCACACCTAAGCTATCAGCCCCTGCTAAATCCTTCATCTGAAAGAAGTCGAGCACCATCCTATTCAGCCTAGTGCAACAGGATATAAAGGCCGAGTCCAAGAGCCTACGCAACACCAGCAAGGGTATCTGGTTATGGAGCACCAACATATCTCTGCGTACAAATGGCAGCACGTGGGTAGCTCTGTGGTACCCAAATATGGCGTCATCGTGCACGTAACCGGTGAAATTCCCTTCGATTGTTGTTCGATGGATCTCAAGAAGGAAGCAACCTTCTCGCAGCAGCATCAGAAGGAATTCATCAGAGGTGATGCTCGTGAACGGCACACTGTAACAGTCTATGAGGTCTTTCTCCACAGCTTGCAGAGCGTCGAGATAGTCATTGATAGGGCACCTTGAGTGGCGGAGGAAGTGGATGAGTGCCCGTTGCTTGTGCTCTTCCATGGGTTTTAGGTGGGCATTGCTATCCTTGAAGGGATGATGGAAGGGGCCGAGGGAGACACGATGTGGGATGTAGGCATCCTGGTTGCAGCCGGCAAGGATGGCTGGAACAATGTATATGCATTGCTTCTTCCATCGCATGGACTCGTCGTCAAGGTTGTGCGTTCTCACAACATCATCAATATTTTTCCACCTCGGGGGTTTGCTGTGGAGGATGCGGGTTTCCACTCGCTGCGTAGGTTGTACTCTGGCAGTACCTTGTGTCTAGCTCTCAATATCTTCTACCTCTTGTGTGCTACCCATCTTCTCCTCCTCCATGGGCACATAGAGAGTTCACCCGAGGGCTCGTTGTGGACGATGATGGTTTGCGCCCCCACTAGTTGTCCACCCACAATACATTATCTTGCTTTCAATATTTCTTGATTGCTGCTACTTGAAAGAGGGTGTTTTTCATATATCTATATATAAAAAATTGCTCTTACTTATTGATGAAGATATCATAAAAAGTAATTTTTTAAAAACAAATAAACTACAAAATTAGTAAATCCACCATTCACAACTCTCTCTATCTTTATCCTTTGTAATTTGAAGGGTTGTGAAGTTTAGATTATCCCATATATATATGGAAGATACTACAAAACGCCTATAGGCAAAAATGAACAGTGATTTCGCCTGCCCTCATCACATCCAAAGTTCATCGCTCGGTCATGATTATCCGGTAGCGTTTTATTTTTTATTTTTTTTAAAAAAATCGGAATGACCTAAAATTTGGAGCGTGTGTTCATCAAAAATAGATGAATCTACAAAAAATGTCAAGAAAATATTTTACATGAAAAAATTGATCAAAATATCCTTGAAACATTTTGGCGGTATTTTGGTCAATTATGTTTTTACAAATTATTATTTTTATATTTTTATTAGATACGTCTCACTAATATGTACACACGTGCCAAATTTTAGG